TTTCCCCAGTGACCAGTGCCACACAAACGATAAGTAACTATTGTCTGTTTCACAAATGGCTGAAAGTGGGAGACACAAAGACGAATTAGATATAGACGCAGACCTTAAAGAATCTATAGTGCAGTGGAGGAAATAAAACATACACACACAGATATCAGAGAGTAAAAAGTATTAATAATGCCTACCTGACAAAGGGGAAAAAAGTCACTCGAATTAGTTCAAGTTTTAATATGGTGTCCATATCGTACCATGTACCCCAAATCTAGAACAAACAATGTCTGTGATTTAAAAGTTTGCACAAAATGTAAACAGAAAAAAAATCAATTATCTAGAAGTTTAAATGGATTTTAATGTGTTTTTATAAAATAGCTAGACATGAGTTTAAAACTTCTGCATGCTTAAAAAAAAAAATCCCTCCCCGCTACAAATACACACAACTTGGGAAAAGTACTTGTAACATGCATGTCAAAGAGTAAATGACCTTTACGTATCAAAAGTTATTCTAAAGAAATAACAGAAAGACTGAACAGAAAAATGAGCAAAGATAATTTGAGGTGATCGAAATAAGACATATGAACAGCTGATAAAATAGACCTATCAGTATTCAGACAAATAGAATAAAAATAGCCATCAGACTGGCAGACATGGAGGCCTGGTGATACTTGGCTGACAGAGGGAAGGAACAGGTCAGTGATGACTACTGCTGGGGAGACTCTTGACAGGGACATCACTAAGCTTTAGGGGTACTGGGGTGACATACCTGAGCACTTATGTGTGCCTACCCTCTGCTCTACCCACCACACTTCATCTTTAGGAAGACATTCATCTTTAGGGAGTCTTAGGGTAAATTCACTAAAATACTTATAGGATGTCCATAATAGTATTGTATATAACAGCAAAACACTAATGTCCACTGTGGGTATACTCATGCAATGGAATACAATGTGACTAATACAGGTGATGATACAGATCTATTTATTGACATGAAAAGATGTTCATAAAATATTAAGCAAAAAATATGTCACCATGCATGGGGGGATAAAATGTTACGCAAGAAACCGAAATGTTAACAGTGCTTAGTTATTTCTGCGCAATCAGATCAGGTATCACCTTTATTTACTTCCCTAGGCTTGCCTATATTTTTCAAAGGACATATATTAATGTTATCATCAGAAGACATAACTATTTTTAACAAGCTACATTTGACTGACAGTATCTTGTTTCCAGGATCAAATCCTTTTCTGAACATATTGAGAAAGCCTATCCTAAAAGCCTACTAGGACATAGGAATTCCAATCTGAACATTAAAAAAAAAAATCCGTAATACTTGTGTGATAGCTGAACTGAGAACCAAAGAAAAGAATGTTTTAGTTAACAGCTTGAAGTCATGGTTAAAGGCAAACTGGTCCTTGAGGAAGAAAGTCAGGACTACGGAGGTCATATGAGAAGTAACAAACCTGACATCAAATTGCAAGGATTTTGCAGATTGCTACAGAGAAAATATTAATACCCAGAAAATAATCAAGATACTAATTAAAGGCAATGTTAAATTACTCAGTTTCTTGTTGTAAGAGCTCAGAAGAGCACAGTGAAGGCTAGCTTTAGCAGGAAGAGATTCCTTAAGATGGGAGGTCGATTCTGGATGGGGTGAGAAAGGAACATACTTCAATGGGGAAGGTGGCTGCGAGAATGATCACAGCACATTTAGGAAACTTTGTGTCATCTGATGTTTGTCTCAGGACTGTTTTTTTTTTTTTTTAGATATGTGAGGATTTTGATCAAAAGGATATTTTAATTTACAAAACTTGTGTTTAAAAGCAAGAAAATAGGACAGCTTATAACTGCTGAAGCACTGTAATTTTTACTCAGGACAAAAGTACGATGGATTATTGTCCCAAAGTTAACAATATGGTAATCTGATTTTCAAATGTAAACTCCAATTGTCCTTCTAGCTAAGAATCTTTGCACCAGGGCTCTGGGAGGCAAATTCTATACTACTACATAAAACTTACATGTTTTAAAAAAGCCTAAATTGTGTTAGAGCTAAAAACCAGAGAGATGCATTAACTCTCACGATCTCAGCTAGTGGGGCTCTGCTGGGCTGAACGTTCTTTACTGGAATGAAGCCCATGGTCAGGTGTCAATGTCTTTGTCAGTCTCTCACTGACAGTTCTACAGGCAAAGACAAAAACAATGCAAATCAACCACAAAGGGAAATGGTTCCTCTAATGAAAAAATACAAGATACAAGGAAGCAGATATTAGTGAACTCTTGATCACAGGCAAACAAAACCACAGAGAAGTCAGCCTCTGGGAGACCTTGGCCTCTGAATAAGGAAAGGTGCCATAAGGGAGAGGTACTTCAGAAAAGAATGATTTAAATATCAAAGGATTAAAGAGAACCTGGAAAAATTAAAGATGCCCTCAACCATTCCCGCAGCATTTTGCAGGAAACAACGATCTTTCTGAGAGTGAGTGGCCGATGTGAAGGCTGTGTGCGGCACCCTTACTCAGCTGTGACAAAAAACACCTGAAGACAACTTGATTCACTCTTTAAGAAGAATGTACATAGTTACATTTATGATCTGTATGTTCTTCAATATTTGTTTTAAACATTTTATTTTTTAACATAAAGTCTTAACCTCTTCCTACCTCTCACTATTCATTTGCAATATTCTGGTTCTCATTTTAAACAGTCTTTTTCTGGACACTTTTCCTGCATCAACTCTGACTTTTCTCAAATTCCAGTTCCACAATCCAAGCTCACTGAAGCCCTGCTACCGCAAAATCTAATAAGGACGGGGCACTGTTGCTCAACTCTTGACATTTTTACACCTTTCGTCCAAGTCTGGGGTTGGAATCTTCTGATGCAAACTAGTATCACCCTCCAAATTCTCCAAATGTAAGATGAGTATCACCAATCACCACTGACCTGGATTACCTGGCTCTCAGCTTTGATTCCCACTTCCTGTGTTGACATATTTTATCATTCACCAAGCCCGCGGATTCTTCTTCAGATATCCCGTATATCTAAGATGACCACAGCAGGCATCACTACCTCAAGACAGATTTCTTGTCACCTTCTGCCTTCACTGTGCACACCATGCTTTGTAAGCATCTCTTCCTAAAACACGGCCTTCGAAATATGACCAGCTAAGAACCTTCTGGAAGCCCATGGATCAATACCAAGTTTCCTGTGTGGCATCTGAAACCTTTTCTCCATCAACTGGTTCACCTTATCTCACCAATCTGGCCTCTCATCAGTCCCAGATACCATCTCTCCGCTCCAGTGCCGAAGGTCTCTCACTTCTCTCCCACACAAGCTGTCCCCACGCCTGCCTCAGGCTAACAGACTTCCTCCCAACCACCGTGTCCTCCTCTCAACATTGCACTTCTTTCAAGGCACAGGCCAACATTTTTCTTTGTCAAGATTTAACCTGTCACACATCCTGATTTTTTCCCACACTTGGAATCACCTCTTTGTTCATGGGTAGTCTATTTTAAATAAACATGCTGAATAAACACGTAGAGAATATAAATCTTCAGATAAATTTTCACTTTCATCTCTCCTTCCTAGAGGACCAGCTCGTCTACTGATGAGCGACCCGCAGCGTACTTAGGACACCGCCGTTTATTTTTCCTTATCCTCAAGAGCCTGGGTCACACAGGCCCTTGTTTTCCCATTAGGGCTAGAAGAATATCAGCCATAGATTCAATAAGCAACAACTATAAGAGATAAATCAACGTTAAGATAAACAGAGAAAAAATTATACGAATTGGTATTCCATTTTATAATTTTAATATGTCAAATAGAATTAACAAACAATACAAAAACAACATCAAATATACCGTAACACAATATAATTCTTTTAGGCCTCTCTAAAGCTGGATAATTTGGTATTTTCATCACAGAAAGCAGAAGACAACAAAGACTGCGATGTGAAATTAATCTGGGCCTTGAGTCTCTCCTTTGAATTCTTCAGTTACCTCTAGTTTACCTTCCAGCCTGAAAGTTCCTGAATTAGAAAGCATCTCTTTGGCTTCCTTCGTGATAAATGTTCTCTGAAAACACTCTGCACCAGGGTTTATCTAACTGAGGTCTGGAGTGCCCTAAGGGTTCTGGGACACATTCTAGACAATCTGAGAATCGTCCCTTTAAAAGGAGTCCCCGCATTACTCAAGTTCAGAAACACTGCTGTATATCATCACTTTACTGCCCAATGAGCTCCATTCTTCCAGGAAGAAATTTAACAAGAAACCTTGCAAAAGCAGAGTGAAGCGAAAACAAGACGTGCGAATGTCATCACTGAAAGCGGCAGGCAGGGCCGGCTGCGTCCCCGGTGCAGCATCCCCAGCTGCCCGGCCAGGCTCCGCCCACTCGAGGGAGGGATCCTGCGCGGTCACCGGAGGCGCGCGACCGCCAGGTGTCCCCCGCCAGCGGCTTGGGGAGCGCGACGGCCCCCCGGGCTCACAGGAGCTGGTACCCGGGCTTCCGGATGTGGCCACGCGGCCGGGGCGGCGGGAATCGGTCCGCCGGGCTGAGCGGGCGGTGGCAGGCGCACAGGGCAGAGAGGCTAGTCCACGGCCGGCTCGCCGCGCTGCCGGCCGCAGCGCTCCAACCCACCCGCCGACGCCGACCCCTTCGGCCTCCCCACTTCTCTCACCCGACCCCGGAAGACAGCCTCACCTGCTTGGCCGGCCGGGGCTCCCGGGAGCGGGGGACCGCCAGCGGGCAGCATCACGGCCACCGCGGCGAGGCGGCAGCAACGGCCAGCCGGCTTCCTGGAGGCCGCGCTCCTTTCCCGGAGCCGCACCCCCAAACAGCCCCCACCGGCGTCGCGTCACCGCCGGTTCCCGGAGCGCGCACGCTGGCGGCGGGAGCGCGCACGCGAGGGGCGCGCAGTGCGCCCGAGAGCGGAGCCTGATCTACGATGATTGGCGTCCGAGGGGTGGGCCGTTCGGTGGATCCCCGCGGCCACGCCACCGCGCAGTGCGTGAGAAAAGTGGAAGTGGCGCCACGGAGGCACCTAGTACTGTGGCGTCTGGTCACTAGCGAACCGTAGCGTACTTAGGACACCACAGTTTATTTTTCCTTAGTGCTCCTAACGGATATAGAAAATAGCGCTTGTTGCTCAACGCTTTACATTTTTATACCATTGCCGGTAACTCTCCCTGTTTCACAGATGGGGAAACGGAGGCTCACACTTACTCAGTCCTCTTGAGGTCTCTCACGAATTCGTGAGAGGTAGAGCCTGAATTTAATTCTTGCCCGCCAATGGCATATGTTAGAGCCTGCGTTGGGGGAGACAGCCTGCCCCATCCCCCCCGCCAGCGCACGCAATGGTTATGAGAAGTAAGAAAGTGAGGAGCGGTCCTGAGACTGACCCCATGTCCTATACCTAGCTCAAGGCCTCTCTCTGGCTTACCAGTAAACTGCTTTGAAGTTACAGAACTTTGTACTTGAGTGCTGGAAGAGACCTTGGGAATCCCGGGTTCCATCCTTTTATACAGATGAATGCACTGTGGGCCAGAGATAGGAAGTGACCGGCCCACGCAGCCACTTTAGAACATTTTTAAAAACAAGAGCCCTAGAAACGTCTATTCCGTTCCATTGATCAAGTAAAACAAGCTTAGCCAGAACTGGTAGTTCTACATCTTAATGCAGAATCCTTCTTGGTCCGCCTGGGTCACCTCCTCTTGCTGGATTCAGCTACTGTTCATGGAAGAAACCATGAAGCCACAGAAGGTAAGAGCCAAAGTGACTCTACTGTCTAGCCCCAATCACCTTCTTTTACAGTTAAGAGCCTGGAACCCAGAGGGGTGGGGTGAATTGCCCAAGACTCCCTGGCGGCAGAGGGGAGAGTAGAACCAATGTTTCTGACTCCACATGACTCCTGCATCAGTGTCTTTTTTTTTTTTTTTTGACAATCTGTTGCTATAAGAGATTACTCGTTTGGATAATTTACACACTAGAAAATCCTGTGATCCAAGGCCAGCATTGAGAAGCTGAAGCTATCCACTGATATGTTGTGATTTTAAGGATAGGCTCCTTTAAAATTATCAGCCTTTCAAAATCCTTACCATTGGAGACACTGGTTGGGGTTATGGTAGCCCTTTCCTTCCTTCCTTCCTTCCTTCCTTCCTTCCTTCCTTCCTTCCTTCCTTCCTTTTTCTTTCTTTCTTTCTTCCTTTCTTTCTTTCTTTCTTTTCTTTTCTTTTCTTTTCTTTTCTTTTCTTTTCTTTCTTTCTTTTTCTTTCTTTTCTTCCTTTCTCTTTCTTTCTTTCTTCCTTTCTTTCTTCTTTCCCTCTCTCCTTCCTTCCTTCCTTCCTTCCTTCCTTCCTCTTTCTCTCTCTTTCTCTCTTTCTTTTCTTTCTTTTCTTTCTGACATAGTTTCGCTCTTGTTGCCCAGGCTAGAGTGCAACGGCACTATTTGGCTCACTGCAATCTCTGCCTCCCAGGTTCTAGCAATTCTCCTGCCTCAGCCTCTTGAGTAGCTGTGATTACAGGCATGCACCACCACACCCAGCTAAATTTATATTTTTAGTAGAGACAGGGTTTCTCTCTGTTGGTCAGGCTGGTCTTGAACTCCTGACAGTGCAGTGGTGCCATCTCGGCTCACTGCAGCTTCTGTCTCACAGGTTCAAACAATTCTCCTGCCTCAGCCTCCTGAGTAGCTGGGACTACAGGTGCATGCTGCCACACCCGGCTAATTTTTGTATTTTTAGTAGAGACAGGGTTTCACCACGTTGGCCAGGATGGCCTTGATCACCTGACCTTAAAATCCACCCACCTCGGCCTCCCAAAGTTCTGGGATTACAGGCATGAGCCACTGAGCCTGGCCGGGTTATGATAGTCTTTCTTAAGGAGGGCTCTACTGAAATGCCAGACTAGGCCGGGCATGGTGGCTCATACCTGTAAGCCCAGCACTTTGGGAGACCAAGGCAGGTGGATTGCTTGAGGTTAGGTGTATAAGACCAGCCTTAACAATATGGCGAAATCCCATTTCTATTAAAATACAAAAATTAGCCAGGCACGGTGTCTTTTTGTGCCTGTAATCCCAGCTACTCAGGAGGCTGAGACAGGAGAATTGCTTGAACCCAGGAGGCAGAGGTTGCAGTGAGCGGAGATTGTGCCACCGCAGTCCAGCCTGGGCAACAGAGTGAGATTCCGTCTCAGAGAGAGAGAGAGAGAGAGAGAAAAAATGCCCGACTAGTATGTATAATCACACCATTCATATTTCCAGATAATTCATATGTAATAATCTGATAAGAGCTAGGAAAGAAAAATATTAGATAGGATGGAAACATGTAACTTCGTGTATTACATTCTAGAGATGCAGTGACGAATTGCCCTAAACTGGGTGGCTTAAAGCAGGAGAATTGATTGTCTTCCAGTTCTAGGTGGTAGAAGCCTGAAATCAAGGTGTCAGCAGGGCCGTGCTGTCTCTGAAGATTGAGGGGAGGATCCTTCTTTGCCTCTTCCTAGCTTCTGGTGGCTGCCAGCCATCCTTGGTCTTCCTTAGCTTATAGAGGCATCACTTTGGTCTCTGAATTTGTTGTCACATGGTGTTATCTCTGTGTGTCTGGGTCTCTAAGTTTCTTTCTTCTCATAAACACACCAGTCATATCAGATTTAAGGCTCGCCCTAATCGAGTGTGATCTTTTTTTTTTTTTTTTT